TCTGGACATCGAAACGACGAAGAACTCGTCATTCTATGACTTGAAAAACCAACTGGTGTAGGAACTTTGGTATTAAAAATACCAAAAGGATCTCGATCCGCTGATATGGCTTCAACGGCACAGACTCGGTAAGTAACCAGTTCCTGACCAATCATCCCCCCGGTGTACCCTCTCCAAGAGAATTCCACACCGACGTACCGGACTAGCGTATCCACTTCCATCAACGGTAGGGACGCCTCCTCTAGACGGTAAACAGTTGGTGCCAAGGCACTGTTTCCCACATTTCGATTAGTCAGCATCGTCATCAAGATTGACCAGCAAACCAGCTCGAGCCAGAGCAGTCTCGGCGGCCATCAGTTTTGCAGACAAGCCACTATTGTCCTCTGCAAAAAGAACAAGATCACCGGCATAAGCAACGGCGTCAAGCACCGTTAATCCCAATGGAAAACCAAGACGGGTCTGCTGCCAGCAGTACCTCATCCATGGCCATGATGAAGAGAATCTGGGACAGTGGATCTGCTTGACGTATTCCGCGTCCGTTATAAATGGAGCAATGATACAGAGTGGCTTCACCACACGTATATATATTTCGAATATGTCAACAATAGCGGTGGAGCTCCAAAGGACCGCGCACTACGGAGGATCGTATCAAACGACAGAATCCAAAGCCTTGGGAACGTCGATGAAGGCTGCTGCTAGACTCCTACTCTTACCCGCGCTTTCGCGCAGCGCCTCATGTAGTGCAGCAGTGACTTCCAGGCACCCATCTCTAGTCGAAAACACCAACGGTAGGGAGTTGAGCACTAGTGAGTACCAGCAAGTACCTTATGGAGACACCGTATTATGACTGAGGCTACCGCAATCGGGCGTTAGTCTGATGGTTTGTGCGGATTGTCGACTTTTGGAAGAAAACATAATCTAGCTTTAAGCAAGTGCGATTGTTGGCAACCTGCATGTAGAAGCAAGTTGAGATATCCCGCCAGAAATGCCGCAGGTATCTTACGTAGGCTCTTGAACGTTAACCCATCAAGGCCTGCAGCCGAGTCAGTACGCATTTGGAGAACGGCATAGTTAACCTTCTCAGTTGGCCGGGTCTTTGCGAGTACCGCCTTTGTAGATTGGTAGATAGTCCCACATTTCCAATCATTGGGAACTTTGCCTTGCGAGAAGAAGTGGCTGAACAGCTCCGCTAGGGGTAAAGCTAGAGCTGTAGCGCACGATCGCAAGTCTTGGGTGGAAACCATCAGCGCCAGGAGTCAGTTAGCCGCAGGGATTGAGTTTCACCAGGACCTTCTACGCAGTGAACTGAACAGCCGTCAGGAAAGTTGGGGTGGGGCCGAAGAAGGTACTATCGTTGTATGCATTGATGGAACGGAGAATGTTGATGCGTACTGCTGGCACAGGACTTCTGCTGCCTCGTTCGCTGACTTTGTGAGCCCTGTGGGGGTCGTCAGTGCGGTGATACCGTGCTTGGCTTGTCAAAGACTGTTGACGTGAGTATACAAGGCTTTGGGATTGGATGAAAATTTACGCACAAGATGGACGCATTGGTTACGGATGGATCGGTAATATTCCCACTGAGTAGCCGTTGGATGGGAGCGATAGTTTCTCCTGGAGGTAATCCACTTCCGCGTACGACTTCGGGTGAGTGCTGTGCATCTCTTCCTTAAAGAAACTTGTTTGCAGATCGTTGCAGTGGAGCAGAGTGCACGCAAGGTAAGGCAAAAGGTTAACCACACGCTGTCGACACTCGATTGGGGCTCGGGTGACCAGTTGTTAGCGGAAATGAGAAGGTTGAACTTGAAGTAATCAGTCCAGCGTTTGGTAGAAGTTGGTGTGCTGACGGGTTTCTCGGCGAAGCATATAAAATCGAAACGGAGGACGTAGTGGTCGCTAAGCCCCAAAGGGGCCTCATACTCAACGTGCCCAACCATCAGTTCTTCGTTAGTAACGTAGCGGGACTAAATAGCCATGACAAGTCCGGCCGATCTTACCCGTCAAAATACGATAAGTGAGAATCAGGTCCCATTATTTTTCAGCAGTGCATGGAGTACATCCCCAAACTAAGCATGCGTTCAGGATATGTCTGTCCGCGTAGACCCTGACTAAGCGAGTGCTCACTCGTAACACCCTCACCAAGTCCATTTTGTCTCGGATAATACATGGTAAACAAGCCTGGATACAATATTCCAGGTGGGGTTTAAACGTTAGAAAGGTAGAAGGAATAAGTTACTGGACCTGAAAAAATATCAGCAACAAAGTCAGCAAGAAACATTTTTTGGGGTCACCAATTATAGCGCGTGGATGGTGCGCTCGACATCCCTTACGAGACTAAATCACCAACTGTGAGCGTACGGGAGAACACACGAAAGATTTAGTGAACGGGAAAAGAGCTAGCTAAGAGCAAAAATAGGGCACCAGAGAAGAGGTAGGGATGTAGTTGAGTGTAATATGCGTCCGGTTGAGGGTTCCGAGGGCTCCTGTGTCCGGGGTGTACGAGGGTCATATGAGACCGAAGGGGGCTGAAAGGAAGACACTTCGAAGGCGGCTGGAAAACCACCTAGTGTCGGAGCTCGATGGATGGTGTGCTTGTGTCACAACTCGTGGCAAGCTGGGAGATAATGTCACAGCTGCCGATAGAGGACCGAGCGCGAGGTGACTAAATGGATGGCGAGAAAGCGTACGACGATTGGCTAATACAGCACCGAAGACGAAATGGGAAAGCAAAGAGGAGAGGAAAGGACGCTCACAATACAAGCTACGCTCGAGGACAATGTATTTGCTGACTCGCTACTGAGACACTGATGTGCTAATGTAATATTCCTTCGGTCCGGCGTTCTGAGCTCTTCCGTGTCCAAGTAGGGTGACAAGCTGCAATGCAGAATAAATACCTCGTAGACAGCTGTACGCTCGAACCGCCTGGTAAGAGGCCGATGTAAAGGAAACAGCTAAGGAAGCACGGAAGAGGAAAGGAAGAGTGCCGGAGAGGAATATGAGGGTAATGATAACAGGAAGTAAAACCCATCGACCTCTCATCTGTCAACGTGTTACCGGCTACATTAACGTCAGGTCAGGTCAGGTCAAACGGACGATAGAGGCTTCCGCCTAACGAGCGTCCAGTTCTTGTGCCGGTAAGTGAAGCGGCCCCCGGCACTTCGACGTTGGATTGTCTCTTCTTGCTTCTGCAATGGAATGAAGCAAGAACAAGAGCAATCTTTGCACTATCATATGCCAGCATCAAAATACACTACATATTCCAGTACAACTACAATATCTCTGGACAAAGGTTAGACCAACAATTGTCTAAGCCCCTTTTGAAGGCTTCTACGGTCTCAGACTCCACTAAATCAGAAGGAAGTTTATTCCAGAAGTTAACTACTCGGTTCGTAAAAAACTTTGCCCTGATGTCCAAACGAGCTCTGTGATGTTTCAGCTTCAGGCGATGCCCGCGCAGATGGTCTGACATAGCCAACTCAAACAGATGGGTGGGACTAATACCACTAAGTCTCTTAATGATCTTAAACGTCTATCAAATCCCCTCTCAACCTACGCCGTTCCAAGGAAAATAATCCTAAGCTACTTAGACGATCTTCGTAAGACTTCCCTCGTTGACCTTCAATCATCCTGGACGCAAGTTTCTGAATCTTTTCTATACAAATGATGTCACTCCGGAGGTACGGTGACCAGGCCTGAACACAATACTCCAGATGTGGCCTAACCACTGCCTTATATAAGGGCAAGAATACGTCTGCTTTAGTGTTACTCAGCGCCCTCCTAAAACGAAATAACTCGTGTCGTGCTTTATTGGTAGCATGGCGACACTGCCGAAGGCTTAAAATTGTTCACTACGATGACACCTAGATCACGGGCTTCGTCAGTACATCGCAATGATACAGATCCCACAGGAGACTGAAATGCAATTCCGCTACCACTACTAGTCAATAGTTGACATTTGTTGGCATTTAGAGGTAGGTCCCATTGGCTTGACCAATGCACCACAGTGATGTCCTTAGCCAATGCCGCTCGGTTTCCCCTACTGACTAGCTTCAAGTCATCTGCGAAGATGTAGCAGGGATCCTCAAGAAGAGGAACCAGGTCATTTATAAACATAAGAAACAGCAATGGACCCAGAACCGAACCTTGGGGGACACCGCTGTAGGCATGGCCAACACTAGAAATCGCTTCCTCAACCCTGACTCTGAATGCCCTTCCACGTAAGAATTCAGTGAGCCATAGTAATAGGTGAGGGTGCAATCCAAACCATGTCAGCTTCTCAATTAAAAATCGATGGTTCACGGAGTCAAAGGCTTTACTGAAGTCCAAATGGCACACCTTTACCGATATCCCACCATCAAGACAACGGGTAATCTCGTCTAAAAAGCACAACAAATTGGTAAGACAAGACTTCTTTTTAAGAAAGCCATGCTGTTCCAATCTAATTAGATTGTGCTCAGTCAAGTGCTCACAGATCCTGTTCCTTATAAGCTTTTCCAAACATTTCAGCATGATGCCGGTCAAACGAACAGGTCTATAGTTAAGAGGCAACGACTTAGAACCCCCCTTGTGGATGGCAACAATAGTCGCTTCCTTCCAATCAAGTGGCAGCTTGCCTTCCTGAAGAGACTGGTTGAATAACTCCGCTACGGGATACTGAAGGATATCAGCCAAAGGCTTAACTATGGCGAGATGTACGCTATCAGGACCAGCTGATTTATAAGCGTTCAAACTGGCCAGCACTGTAAAGACCTCTGACACATTGAGAATAATTTCCCGCATTGTTTTGCTAGTTGAACAGTGCCGCTGTGATGGCAAGGCTGACCCACTATCCTTCCGATGCAGCAGCGCTTCTACTTTACCAACGTCGTCTACAGCCTGGGTACCGTCCTCCATGGTTAGACAGCCGACCACCTCTCTTAAAGAAGCCTTTGACTAGACATAACTGTAATAACACTTGGGATTAGTTTTCGCAAATTTGGTCAACCTAAGCTCATATGAGTACTTCACCTGCCGCTGTAACTTAATAGCCATGTTTCGACACCATTTGTATTGCAGCCAACGTCGGAAGCCCGAGTTTCTTGATATTTTCTCCACTCAGTATTGCGCCTCCTTATCGCGCTAACAATTTTTCTTCTCCACCATCGGGGTTTCCCAAGATGTTTCCTGGGGCGAACAGGAGCAAATTCGTTTAGCAACTGTACAAGTCCACCTTTAAGTAGAAGCCACCTCTGTTCCAAAGTGGCCATGTCCTGTTCAGGGACCCAAGTGATCTGAAGGGCTCGATCCCGCAATTTCGTAAAATCAATACGATTTAAATCTCTTCCCATTCGACGGTTCTCTGCAAGCCTCGGTGTGTCCAGAGAAAAGATCAAAACACAATGATCACTCTTAACTATGGGTGGCTCTACGCATAGGTCAATCAAGTAACCATGTCTGGCGATCACGATATCAAGGGTTGAAGGGGTACTCCCAGTACGACTCCTAGTCGAAATTTTGACGTATTGCTTGAACGCATTTACGTGCATCCAATCTACTAGTTCCTACTCTAAAGTACCCATTCTGTTTTCAGCATGCTGCCAAGCAGCGGGTTTTTGAGCGTTGCTTCTTGATTCTACTTCCGCTTCTGGATTACTGTGTTATTTGTGTTTCATCTGTGTGAATTGTGCACCAAAAAGTTTCTTTTTGGTGTAGTCTTGAAGTTGTGAAAATTTGGTGAGCATTCTCTTACTTATTTCGGCAAACTCGTTGATAAATCAAATTACCGT